GTAAGATATATAATATATATATATTGATTTTCTTAATTTATGCGGAGCTTAAAATGTGTGACAAAATATTAACATTTTATTATTATTTTATTTACAATTCTTTTTTTAGATGGCGATTCCAAATATTAAACACTTCACAAGATGTAAATTTTACACGTATAGTTAGACTTGTTAAAGAACATTTTAAAGTTCCAATTACTTTAATTTCTCTTGTAAATACCACTCATCAATGGTTCAAAGCTGAAAATGGTTTTGGTTGTACTCAAGCAAAGCGTGAAATTAGTTTCTGTGGTCATGCCATTTTACAAGAAAACGGTGAACCATTTGTAGTTCCTGATTCATTACTTGATTGGAGATTTAAGAAAAATCCTCAAGTCATAGGACCTCCTTATATTCGTTTTTATGCTGGTGCTCCTTTAAGAACAAAAGATGGTCATAATGTTGGTACTCTTTGTCTAATCGATACTGTACCTCGTAATGATTTCTGCGAACGAATGCGTGAATCGTTAAAAGATTTTGCAAAAGTGGTTATGCGTGAACTGGAACTTTGGGCTGATAGATTAAGATTAGGTGTTAGGAATAAGATGCAATCTAGTCTCGCTGAATTCAGTAAATTTTGTTTCGAAACTCAGCTTGCTTACGGTGAAGATGGTTCTGAAGCTGGTGATCCCATTATGCGTAGATGTTTTGAAAGGGCTGTAACTTTGATAAAAGATACTTTGGATGTTGATGCTTTATATTTATTAGAAATGCCTTCTTTATCTGCACGACAAGTCACTTATGCCAGTCGCCTATCCAATGATTTCTCTAATGATTTTCTTTTGAATAGTCCTCCTCCTGAATTACCGACAAAACATTTGAAATTCCTGGCTGCTGCTGGTCTTTCGATTTCTACTGACTCTATTTCAACTCCCGTAACCACTACTTTTTTAACTCATTTGATGCATACTCATGCTCAGGGTTACATATTTCAAAATGCTCTTCCACAATTACCTAATCTTTTCCCTCCTAATATGTGTTCTGGTATTGTTGTTCCTATCCATGATAATGCTAAAAATGCTTTTGGATTTCTCATTGCACTTACCAAAGATCCTCTAAGACAATTTGAAGATGAAGAACGCGTTTATTTGGGAAATTTTGGTGTCAATATTGTAAGCGAGGTTCTTAAACGACGTGTTATTGTAGCTGATAGAGCGAAAAGTGCATTCATTAGCTCGGTATCACATGAATTACGAACTCCTTTACATGGAATTTTAGCTAGTTGTGAATTAATGAGTGAAGGCCATTTGAATGAAGCGCAAACTGAATTACTTAAGACCATTCAAAGCTGTGGGACTGGCTTAATTTCAATAATAAATAATGTTTTAAATTATGCGAAAATGGATAATTCTCGTGATTATGATTTAATGCATCCTCCACCCGTTCCAGTTTTGAATAGTAATTCAAGAAATTATTACGATAATGAAGAACATCATCATCATCATCATCGTCGTGATAGAGTAAAGCAAAAAGAAAAAGTTGATTTGGTTAAGATATTGGAAGATGTCGCTGAATCATGTGTAGTAGGACAACAGATGGTGTCGGTTATCTATGGAAAAAATAATAACAATGATGAAAATAGTTCACCATCACAAGCAAGAAGACGACATGTTTGTAGATTATTACATCCGTACCAATCTAAGAGAGAAACTGGTTCGCCTGAAGTTGATCTTCTTATGGATATAGAATCACGTGAAGATGGATGGTGGGTAATGGCAGAAGATGGTGCAATCAGGCAGATGCTTATAAATGTAAGAATTATTTCAAATTATTTAAGGTTATTTAAAACGAGTTTAAAAAAAAAGAACTATATTTAATTTATTTTTAAAATTTTTTTTTCGCTCATTAATTAGATTGTAGGGTAAGTCAACACTTGTAAATTCCGGTAATGTTGGTAATATTAAATAAATCATTATTAATTTTAATTAATTAATATATATATTTTTTTTTATTAGTAATGCTCTTAAGTTTACGAAACAAGGTTATATTCACTTGTCGCTTGCAACTGTTGCTTGTCAACATGAAACTTGCGAACATTCTTGTTGTCAAGATTTGGCATCCGACTATACCGATGAATCAGAACGATTACATGTTCTCTTTACTATAACTGATACCGGTCGCGGAATTGATCCAAATTTTCTTAACACGCACCTTTTTCATCCATTTACTCAAGAGGATCCTCTTCAAATTGGTACTGGATTAGGTTTAAGTATTGTCAAATTATTAGTGGAAAAGATGGGTGGTAAATTGGATGTCGAAAGTGAAGTAAATGTTGGAACTAGAGTGAGAATTTGGTTGGACTTTGAGAAGGCTAGTGAGTCTGATATTGATAGTGAAGATGATGCTAGCGTTAGAGATAAAAAGGCTATAAAGAGGAAAGAAAAGGAAATTATATTAAAAGAACTTCAAAATAAATCTGTAGTGGTCAAGGGCGCTAGAGGGAAAGCTAAAGAAATTACTTGCCGATTTCTCAAAAATTGGTTTAATATAAAAAATGTGGTTCTTGAAGCACGACCTAGTAAGCTAGATGGAGATTTAGTGATAATTTTTAATGAAGATTTAGAAATTTTAAAATCTTTATTATCAGAAAGTAAAAATAAATCGTGTTGGTTTAATTCAAATTTAATTTCTGAAGAATCTGATAAAATAAACGCACCAATTATTTTTGTCACTTCATTGGAAAAGCATGGTAAATTTAGAGAAATAATTGAACAAATTCAAGATGAAATTGAGATGAATACAAACCAAAAATATCGTAAAGTTGTTATTGTTTCAAAGCCTATCAGCCCTCGAAAAATAGAAAATGCTATTCTATCATGCTTTAATCTTAAATTAGACGTCAAAACTGAAGATTTACCACAAATTATTATGACACCACCTATTAACGATGATGACACATCTTCAGACGATACGCTTGTGTCTCTACAAACGCCACTTAACACGCCACCAACGAAAAGTGACCCGTTTGAAACCACAAACATTGATTTACAATCATCAAATAAGCTAAATCCCTTAATTCTAGACGCTTCACAAATATTGTCATCCTCACCTCCAACTTTAGATAAATTTGCATCGACACCAAAACCACGAACTTTATCAACTTCACGTTCATTACCTGCAGTAACTACCCCCGAGATAGATCCTTCCACACAATCACAATATGGACTTCGTGGACCGAGAGTTCTTATAATAGAAGATAATGTAGTGAATAGAAAAATCTTGTCTACATTTTTGAAAAGTCGAGGAATTGATTTTGAAGAAGCAGAAAATGGAGCCATTGGTGTTGAAAAATATCGAAATGCATTAGAACAAAAAGGTGAACGAGAGAAAAAATTCGATGTGGTTCTAATGGGTAAGTTAACTTTTTTATCATCAATGATTTTGAAATTTGAAATTTGAAATTTGAACGAATGAATAAAATTCTAACGTATCTAATGATATATATATTCTAGATATTCAAATGCCAGTAATGAATGGTAATGTTGCCACGTCTGAAATTAGAAAGATAGAGAGGGAATATGCTCAAAGACGACAGAAATTAAAACAAAGATCATTAACTGAAACTTTAAAGGGTATATCAAAAATTCCGACAGGACTATTTCCTAATTTAGCAAAAACTAATACTGAACAAACAGATACATCACATCAACCATCAATACCAATAGAAAATAAATCTTTAATTTTCGCATTAACTGGATTAGCTAGAGAAGAAGATAAAGATATTGCATATGGAAGTGGAGTTGATGGATTTTTAACAAAACCTGTTAGTTTAAAAACTTTAGAAAAAGTACTTAAAAGATGGTCGGAAAATGGTGACTTTACTGAAGAATTTCCAGAAATAAAACCACCAACATTAGTTACGAATGATGAAAATTTAACTCCCGTAAATGGAAATCAAGAGATTTGAGAACAAACAATTATATGTAATTATATAATAATTTGGGTTGGGTGATTGTGTTATTATTAATTTCTTATTATCCCATGTCTATAGTTAACGTGATTGTATAGATGCTCTCTTTTTTTCTGTATATTTGTTTTTTTTTTTTATTATAAAATTTGATTATATAATTAGTACATATATAGTAACATAATATTTTCTTGCACATATAAACAAATCTCAACGACATTTATATATATATATATCGATAACTTATATTCTGATAACTTATAAAATTATTCATTATTTTTTATTGTACAATTGTTAAATTTTTATAAATACTAATTATTTAATAAAACTGCATTACTTAGAGTCATAAGTCAATTATAAGATAACTTGTACGTGTCGAATTGTATTTTCTATGATCATAAGATATTACTAACACTAATAATTTTGATGAACTTTAGCTTTTCATGATCAGTTGGACCAGTGATAATTTCATTTGCATTGTAGTTAAGATATATATATTTTTATCGTCATATATTTTATTTTATATAAATTTTATTTTATAATTTCTTAATTACTTTATCAAGAAATTCACTTGGAAAAATTAAAATACACGTCCCTACAATAAATTACCAGAATGATCTTTTTTTCATTAATAAAGCATATTAAAAACGAAAATTTATGCTTTTATATAAAAGTTTTTACTTTTATTAATGATATTTATTGTTGCCTATCTAAAGTTAACTAGTCACGCTTTCTAAAAATGATTTTTTTGTATACTTTTTTATGAATAAACGTAAAAATTTTTCATATGTATATTTCACATATAAAAAATTTCTAGGTCAATTTCTCGATTCAAATGTTTCTTTATACAAAATCCAGAAAATTCATTTTTAGAAAGCGTGACTCGTTCAGTAGCTAGCTTTAGACAGGCAAAAAATAAGGAAAGATCATTAATAAAAGTAAAAAAAAAACGTTTATATAGAGAATAAATTTTCGTTTTTAATACAGTCAGACCTCCCTAAAATGCGTATTCCCTAAATGCATTGTCTATGAAAGACCTTTCTAAATGCATGGCCTTATTTGGCTCCCAATTCATATAACACTTATAGATTTTTACCTCCATAAATGTAATATCTCTCTAAATGCGAGATTTTTTGGCCGCCCCTCGGCTATGCATTTAGAGTATATTTTATTAATAACAAAATGATCATTCGGTAATTTATGTAATTTATTGTAGGAGTGTGTAAATATATTTTTTTCGTACGTAAATATTTTTGATATATCGATATGGAATTTATTTTTATTTGTATAATAAGTCATTTTAAGATCAGAATCCACCTTGTGCAAAATCAATATAGTTTAAAACATAGTTATCAAAAAAATTCATATACATTAACGTAAAGTTTTTTAATTTAAGTGATATCAGATATTAAAAAATATAAACCGTAAAAATAATAAATTTGAAGCTTCTCTTTCAGATTTACGGTTTACTCTTTTTTTTTTTGATTGGTAAAGTGTTGAAGGGTTAACGTTAAAATTAAGTGGTTTCTCTTTGTTACTATGAAATTTTGACCAATAATAATCAATGCACGTGATTAAAACTAGTAAAATTTCGGAAGGTTTGTGAGTTATATTACGTGTTAATTAACATAACCTGGTTGCATTTTATTATAATAATGATCGATTAATGAATGAATTCAATTAATATCCTGCAGTGTCAATTTCATCCAAGGGATAACATCGCTGTATGAGTCCGAAGCCAAGTGCGGCATAAAATTACGTGTATATATATATATATATATATATACCGATATATACAGTATAGTATATTACATTTAACTATGAGGATAACGGAGTTTCGGGTTTGTAAATAAAGATTTTTAATATGATATTTTTTTTACTAATCAGTACTACACGTACAGTACATCCGTTGGTAATAAAGGACATTGTGTTCTTTATGCGTATGTTTTTCACCTGACATTGCAATATTGGATCAAAGTCACAAGGTTACACGACACTTCACACGATCATACATAAATAATGGAAGCACAACAATCGAATACAAACTTTTTTAATCCATTTAAAAATGATATTACCGAACGAATGCCTTTACGAAGTATTCGATAATTTGCAGACAGATTATAAAAGTTTATTTTCGTGTCTTTTTGTAAATCGTCAATGGTGTAGAATGATTATACCAATATTATGGAGCAAACCAACGGAATATTTTGATGATAAAAGACTTATAAGAATATATCTTTTAGCATTAAATGCTAAAGAACAAGCATTATTGATCCCATTTAAAATTATTCTTCCAAATTATCAAAAATTATTATTTGAATATACCAGTTATACCACGTCAGTTGGTTTTTATTTGACCGAAGGAGTTGAAACTTGGCTTAATGATGAAGGATATGGATCAGATGGATTTCGTTATCCGATTTTTATTGATGATGACCATGAAGATGAGTCCGTAAGCGCCGTTAAATGTTCTTTGGTTACAATGTTTCTGAGAAAAAGTAAAAACCTTAAATTTTTATCGCTTGAAAAAACTATTAATAAGATTATATTTGAAAGTCTTTATATAAATAACACTATTACCTATTTGAATCTTTATCAAAATAATTTTGATTCGGAGGGAATCAAATCATTAATGAAGGTTATTTTCAAAAGCACTTCCTTGACATCTTTAGATCTTTCTTTTAATTATTTGGATGCTGAGGAAGGAAAAGAACTAGCAGAGGCTATTTGTAAGAACACTTCATTAACTTCGTTAGATATTTATGGAAATCAATTTGGTTCCGAGGGTGGAAAAGCAATAGCAAAAGCTCTTTGTAAAAACACCACTTTGACTTATTTAGATATTGGCGATAATATGATTAAATTTGAAGGGGGAAAAGCATTAGCAAAAGCAATTAGTAAAAATACTACCCTAACCTCCTTAAATGTTCATAACAATCAACTTGGTTCTAAAGGCGTCGAATCATTAGCGGAAGGTCTTTTTAGAAACGCTACTCTTACTTCTTTAAATATTAGCAATAACGATATTAATTTTGAAGGAGTAAATGTATTAGCAAAGGCTCTTTGTATGAACACTACACTTAATCAATTAAATCTTTCGTATAATCAACTTGGATCTGAGGAAGGAGAGGAACTAGCAATAGCTCTTGGTGTTAACATTGCTCTAACTTCTTTAAAGATTTATGGAAATCAATTTGGATCGAAAGGAGCGAAAGCATTAGCAAAGGCTCTTGAAAAAAACGGCACTTTAACTTATTTAGATATTAGCGATAATAAGATTGGATTTGAAGGAGGAATAGCGTTAGCAGAAGCACTTGGCATAAATACCACTCTTACTTCTTTAGATATCGGTAATAATAATATTGGGTTTGAAGGAGTAAACGTGTTAGCAAATGCTCTTTGCGTAAACACCACTTTAAATCATTTAAATCTTTCTTATAATCAACTTCGTTCTGAGGAAGGGAAAATACTAGCAGGAGCATTTTATGTTAACACTGGACTGACTTTTTTAAAGATTTATGGAAATCAAATTGGATCTAAAGGAGGAAAAGCACTAGCAGAGGCACTTCATCAAAACGTCACTTTGACTTATTTAGATATTAGTGATAATAGGATTGGATTTCAAGGAGGAAAAGCGTTAGCAGATGCTCTTTGCATAAACACTACACTAACATCTTTAAATATTAGTTCTAATCAGATTGGTCATAAAGGAGGAATAGCATTAGCACGGGCACTCTGTAAAAACGTTACTTTAACTAGTTTAAATGTTAGTAATAATAAGATTGGATATGAAGGAGGGAAGGCGCTAGCAGATGCACTTTGCGTAAATGCTACGCTAACATCTTTAAATATTAGTCGTAATAAGATTAGTTTAAAGGGTGCAAAAGCATTAGCACAAACACTTTGCAAAAACACTACTTTAACATCGTTAGATATTTCTTTTAACGAGCTTAATGTTGAAGCTGAAAAAGTATTAGCAGAAGCCCTCTGTAAAAATACTAAATTAGCCTCCTTATATTTTTATGGCAATCGATTTAATTCCAAAAACTTGTGCATGTTGAAAAAAATATGCAACGTTCAGATTGTATAAGATAAATTCAGATTTATGCAAATAATAAGCAAATTTATTCAAATCTGTATATAGTCTATTACTAAAAAAGTTGTGATTGTATAAAAATTTTAATTCGTACTTTCATTTCTAGTTTAACATCACGATGTCGCGATATTATAAGCTATAATATATTTAAAATCTAGATTCAATTTAGTTTCTCTACCTATGTAGCTTTTGTTTATAATATATTGATAGCTTCTTTGTTTATAATCTTATAAGATTTATAATTACTCAATTTTATTCATATAAAAATCTTCATATTTATTTATTATCCATCTAAAAGTTAGATTAATCATGTTTCATAAATGGTATTGTTTCCTATTCTTATTCGAATAGTCATCCCTAGAGATAACAACAATAAAAATTTACAATATTTTATGCGAAATATGACGCGATTTACGTGAATATAATATTACCTTTTGTAAGATATAGTCCATAAGCTATAACTAGAAATAAGAGATCGATGATTAACCATAACTAATTACAGAACTATTGTTATCACTAACAATATGATGGCACTTATGTTAAATCTTAATAGCTCTAGAAGATATAAAGTTTAAGAAAAGGATGAATTAGTGACGCGTAGTTACTGTAATGTATAGTCAGCAAATATAGTAGTTAAATATGAAATTTTACAGTTCAAGATATGAGTTTGTATAAAGTCTATACAGAAACATATTAGTGGAATCCAAAAAGACCGTCTTCTTAAAAATGTCAAAAAATAAAAAATATGAAGTACGACTTATAAATAAAGAACAAATTAACTCAAATCTCCATTACGGGCCATATGCTCGAGATTGGTGAATTCAAGATTTAAATATTTCAAATAATAACATACTAACTCATTCTTTCATCTTTATATGAATGTAGTAACTCAAATAAAAGTTAT